GGGTGGTGGGCTCGAGGATGAGGTCCCTGGGCTGATGAATGGTCTTCTGTGAAACGGTGCCCCCAAGGGCTGGCCCACTCCGCACCGTCCTCATGTGCCAGAAATGCCAGCACCTGCCTCCTGTGGTTGCCATGCGGGTCCTCGAGCCAGAAAACCCTCAGCACAGGTCCAGATCTTACCAGGTGCTTCTGGGTCAATGCACTTGCATCTCGGGCAGGTGTTATCCCAACCCAAGAGCCCTGGAGGCCTCACTGGACGGCGTTTGCCAGGGCACTTGATACCAGCTGTCCAACTTCTGGTCACACCCCTGTTCGCTCCGCTTCACGTTGGATCCGAGCATGACACTGGGGTTTGGCAGGGGTGGGGGGTGACCGAGTGGCCCCTGTGCCCAGAAGGGAGCCATTCTCTATCCCAGATCTACGCTGGCTCCATCCAGTCGGGGGAGAGTTTGCGACCCCCTCCACTCTGGTGGGCTACACACCAGCCAGCCACGCCCCTCCTGGGAAGGTGCCAGCCGGGAAAGATGGAGCTTTGTGGCATCAATGCCCACTTGGTCTCCTTTCCCTGTTGGCTCTTGTGACCTCACCGAGAGCCGGCACCAGGGATATGGGGCGGATACAAGGCGGGAGGCAGGGGGACAGAAGTGTGAGGTCAGGGTATCGAGGCTGCCTTTGGCTTCTTAGCTGTGGTTCAGTCTCCAAGAAAAGGGGGTTAATTACATTTCTCCTCCCACCTCAGAGGGTTCCAGGGAGAGTGTGCTTTGGTAACCAGGGAGAACTAATTCTGCGTGAGAGAAACTTCCCCAGGGAGGGTCTGACCCCTTTCATTCTTTTTTTTTTTTTTAATGATTTTATTTATTTATTTCAGAGACAGAATGAGGGGGAGAGAGAGAACATAAGAGTGGGGAGGGTCAGAGGGAAAACCTGACTCCCCGCTGAGCAGGGACTCCGACTGGGACTCGATCCCTGGACTCCAGGATCATGACCCAAGCCGAAGGCAGTCATTTAACTAACTGAGCCACCCAGGCGCCCCTGATGCCTTTCATTCTTTAGAGACCAAGACAAGGAGCTTCAGGCCTACGAGTGTTTCAAGGACCTTTGGAAAGGTTTAGGACTGGAATAAAATTATAGAATTATAAATTATATATAATTATAAAATAAAAATATAAAATATGGAAATAGCAATATGGAACTCAACAGTGATTACTTTATCTATTCCTTCTTCATTAATTGTGACATTGAGTATACATACAAATCTCCCTACATTTGAAAACCATTTGTAAAGTTAGACTTTCTCATGTTACAGGAATTTGTAAGTAGGCCACGTGACGGCCAGCAAGGAACAGCTGATTGTAAGTTAAACGAGCGACTTACGGCCAAATCATTTTCCAAACACGATCATGGCCCTGCCCATCTCCCTCAGACCTCATCATGCCAGGTGATCGCCCATTCCAGAATCGTCTCTTCTTCCGCCTTCTCTCTTTCTCATGCATCACGAATACCAATCAACAAAACCTGCTTTCTCTAAAGATGAAAAATGCAGAAGCCGACAAAGAGAGCGAGGTTGAAGACCAGACGATTCTGGTTGCAGGTGCGGGGACACTGGCTTTGGACGTGCATCTCCGCAGGACGGAGAGCTCCTGAGTCAGAAGGTCAAAGCTGCCATCACGTGCGCCTTGTGGCTTTTCCAATCCTGCTTTTCCCCAACCCACTCACTCTCCTACGATGAAGGGAAAGCAGATACTTTCCAAACCCACACCTCACCAATGCCAGGGATTTTTTTTTTTTCAATGCTCACTCTCTGTCACTGTAAAGTCTGTTTTTTAAGTGACTTTAATTGGAATAATCTTTTTTGGCTCCTGAGGTGCTGAATCCAGATGAGGCCATCTGCCTCCTCTCAGCGTGTGTGCAGAGCCTGGTCCCAAACCCCCAACGAACCTATTGGGGTCCCCAGGAACCCCACCCTTCTCCCTGCATTTTTGTGGGTCTCCCTCCGGAGTGCCTTTGTTCAAACACTCCAGTCACTTGAATGACTTATTTCACCCAACAGGGTAATTAATGACGCTTGCAACAAGCTGGTAGTTATTAATTAAATCATTTGAGTGAGCCCCCCAAGGACACTTAACAGTCTGACAAAGCCAAACCTCTTATGGCTGTTTCAAAAAGAAACAAGTACGGGATATGACGAAGAAGAAAGGCGGTTCAGCGATGGGACAGGAAGAGTCCAGACCAGCAAGGGAATAGGAAATGCTCTCTTTAATGAGACGAGGCCCGCTAGCCGCATGGTCGGAATCTGGCTGTGGAGAAGCGAAGATCTGGTTTTGGCACACGGCATCCTTGCTTAATTAGGTGCTAGAACAAGCTGCTGGAGGCTCTCGGGCAAAAACAAGACAGAAAGTGCCTCCCTTTGTATGCTTAGCTACTTATAAAATTAGTTCATTTTCCACCTTCTGTCTGGGCACTTGGGAGCCCGCGGTGGTTGTCAACACAGAGGGACAGCTTCTGGGGCTGAGGCTAAGCTGAGAGTGACCAGAGGAACACCCCCCGCCTCACCATGGCGTGGGAGGGACAGGGACAGAGGCCCCAGATCGCAGGCTGGGGTCAGTCTAACCGGCTCCCTTCGAAGTCCTTACTGGGACGGCCAGCAGGCCAGCATGAAGGGGAGAGGACTCCCGCTCTGCTCAGGGGCCACCCTAAAGAATGTTCTGGAAACCCGGCTTGAATCTGACTGTTCTGTTACTCCCAGAAACGCAAGCTGCATTCTGGTCATCCCGGGCTCAGCCTTCTGTGCCTGGTTCTCTTTGTTTGAACGTCAGGGCACTCGCGGGGCATCTCATCAGACCAAAACCATTTTGAGGCGCTGGAAATTTCCTTTAAGGGAATGTGATTTCCAGTTCTAAAAAGGTCATTCTGAAGACCTGCCTTTTGTGGGGCATCTTGGTGGCACCGTCGGTTAAGCGTCTGGCTCTGGGTTTCAGCTCAGGGCGTGACCTCATGGCCATGGGATCGAGCCCCGTGTCAGACTCTGACCTCAGTGTGACGTCTGCTCGGACTCTCCTTCTCCCTCTCCCTCCGCTCCTTCCCTGCTCACTCTCACACGCTCTCTTCTAATAAACTCTTAAAAAAAAAAAAAAAAGACCCACGTTTTAAGACAAAGGTCAAACACAGAGCCCATTCACCCACAGGGGCTGTTTACCCCCACCCACGCTGTAGCAGGTGTCAGTAGCTCGTTCCATACACCCCTGCACAGATACACGCCCAGCCTCCCCCACGGGCAATGTCCAGCGCCAGACGGACGCATCGGGAGAGCCGGTGAAGCTCAGAGCCCCCCTGGGAGCTCACTCCCGGCGCTGTGCGCTCTGCGGGTTTGGACACGGCATCAGCACGTGCATCCATCGTGGGATCACACACAGCATTTCCACAGCCCCAACAGCCCCCCGGACTCCGCCTCTGCATCACCCCCACCCACCCTGGCCGCCGTCTTTGTACGGGCTCCATAGTTCGTCTTTTCCAGAGCGTCGTGCGGTTGGAATCGTCTCTCAGACCGGCGTCTCTCGCCTGATAACGTGCACTTACACTCCCCCGCGTCTTCTCCCCACCTGACAGCTCGTTTCTTTCAGAGCCGATGACAGCCCAGTGTCCGGACGCACCCGAGCTTATCCCCTCACTTGCTTCATTCCCTTTCATTCCCTTAACACCTTGTGATTTTCTGGTAGAGTGAAAAGGTGTCCCGACTTCCATTTGTTAGTTCAGAGATCTGTGTTAGCAAGTTTATTCATGATCATATTTATCTCTTCTCTGTCTCGTTAAACTCCATCAAATTGACCTTCTTGACATAAGCCAGTGTGACTGGTCATGAAGTTCTTTTGGTAGATGTCGATGGCCTCCAGGGACGACAGGACACAGGGGTGCTATGTCCCTTCCCTACCACCTCACTGAATGAGAGCGTGTCTCACCCCACATTCTACCAAATGGACAGATACTTGTTAGCAAGCAGGCCCCAAAGTCATCAGGTCCTCGGTCCCCCAGATGGACACGTTGCATGATACGCTCTCTCCAGGGCTGACTCAGTGACATCGACGGCTGGCCTTCCAGCTGGGCCAGGCACAGGGTCCCCTGGGAAAGAGCCAGGACAAGGCAGGGTTCCTGGCTCTCAGGTAGCGATTACACAGGAGGGGGCTCTCTCCTCCCTGAAGCAAATTGTTTCTCATAACTTCAGGTTCTCACAAGCCTTTGAACACGGATAACTTTTATTAGCAGGGTGGCCAGTCTACAGAGAGCCCACAGGCCAAGCCATTTTTAAGTTCTCCAAAAAATGATCTAAGGTGTATTAATCACCATTTTGAAGACTTAATATAAAGATAGCAAATAAAGGAACTGGGATGCTCATTTCTGTTCTGTGGACCACGTGCCGGTCTAACTTGTCTGCTTTGGGGGCACCTGGGTGGCTGAGTCAGTTGAGCGTCCAACTCTTGACTTTGGCAGAGGTCATGATCTCAAGGTTGTGAGGTCGAGCATGTCAGGCTCTGCACTGAGCATGGAGCCTGCTTGAGATTCTCTCTCCGTCTCCCTCTGGCCTTCCCCCTGCTCGCTCTCTCAAATAAATAAATAAAATCTTCAATAAATAAATACATAGTCTACTTTCTTTCCTGGGGCCATGATGCTCCTCCAGCTTGCTGGTGCTCCCCCGGCCCACCCCTCCCAGAATAGATCCAGCTTCAGCAGAAGACTCTCTGCCTAGGGGTCTTGGGGTGGTTGTCTGGGGAGCAAACATCAGCGTTTCTGCTCATAGGGGGTCCCCAGTGTGGAAAAAGAACAGCTAGTCTTACACTGCCCACCCCCACTCTGTGCATCCAAGTAGATGGTTTTACTCAAAAAGACTGTTTTCCTGCTCCGAATCCTTTCCAGGGTCTTCCAGGAAACATGGCAAAGAGCAGACCCCAAAACACACGAACCATACTGAGCTCCCGCTATGAGAAAAACTCACAGAGCACACCCACGTGCTGTAAGATAAGCTGTATTTGGTGCCGAGCTTTTAAAAAGCACTATTTGACATTAAAAAGTGTTCTTCTCTGTAATAATGGCCTCTGTCTTCTAAGGGTTCTTCTCGAGGCTTTCTAAACTTTCTTCAGAATGAAGAAATCTGTAAGTCCTATCATGCCATTCTTTCTAGATTCTCTAGAATGGAAACAGATGAAGGCCCTTTTAGTCATTTCTTACAGCAAAACAATGCAATTTTTATGAAATGCAACATAATTTAAAGGTTTTATCTAGAAGAATTAATGATTTTCAATCTTTAATTATTCTTACCTCCAAAAAATCAAGCATTCTGTTTTCTTATACAAAAACGGGCATTTATTTCTAGGTGAAAAAACCAGGACATGTTTATAGGTTCTTCCTCACTGACCACTCAAATTTTAGTCACTACTGAAACAAAAGTCTCCTTCTATTGGGAAATTCGGTCCAGCGAGACTCAAGGACTGTCTTGAGTCTCTAAAACTTTGGCGTCGCCAACAGCATGTCTCTCAATTTTTCTTTTTTTATCTGCAGACACTTCTACTTCCTGAGAGATGGTGAGCATTAGTACATCTCTACTGCCAACATCCACGGATGTAAAAATACTGAACTCGAACAATATTCATTCTCTAGGCCGGCGGGGAAAACGAGAGCCCTCTCGAGGGCTCATCCTTTCAAGGTAAAAGGATCATTCGAGGTTCTAACCCATATTTTGCCATAAACAGCGACCACCTCTCACAGCCCTAGGGAAATCACAGGTGTCCAACGGTCTCCCGCTGCGGCCGCTTAGAGGGGAAGAACAGGATGCTGGAGAAGTCTGCCTGTCCCCCGACCCCTCGCTGTCCTGGGCAGGAGGACTTCCTGCCGCGGCGGGCCCTACAGCTCTCCTCGGGCTGTGAGGGACAGTGGGCTTGCAGTGTCAGCTGTGCCAACGGCCTAGCGCGAGTGTGTTTATTTCCCCCGTTAAGGAAGAGCCATTGACCAGGAGCAGGGGACATCGGGCAGCAGCGCCAAGGGGGCGGGGTGTTCCGAAAGCACACGTGCGGTGCCTGAAGTGTGTTTGGGGGGGCAGGGAGCTCGGCTGGCTTGAAACCCCCAGACCCGTGCGGTTGGGGTGCAGGGAGCCGGGGACCTGTGCAGTGCTAGGCAGAGGAGTGAGACCGCAGGGGGCCAGGCATCGGACCCTGTGGGACCTCTGTGCGTCCAGTGTCTGTCCACCCCCAGAGGAGCAGAAGGGCGTGCAGGAGCCCACACCGCGCAAACACTCAGGGAACAAAGGCGTGAAGTCGCACCCTCCACCTGCGGGGCTGTTGAGATGTGCCTTTGAGCTTACTCTTTAACAGGCTGCAAGTTTAAACCACTGCACACAGTGGACTTAAGAATCAAGATCAATTCCGGATAAACTTTTCTCAAAGATGGGGTAAAAAGAACCAGACTCCCGTCCGGCACTGCCCTGTATCACTCATGAAGAAAAGCGGCCTCCTGCCATTCAAATTTCTTTAGCACAGCTTGGCGACATCTTGGGGACACCTGGGGCGCAGTGTGTGTGGCTCTCCCTCCCCGCCAAGGCTGGATTACTTGCAGCAAAGCCATCTGGGAGGAGAGAAAGGACCTTCTCCAGTGGTCCCCGCACAGGAACACCAGGGCGGGCTCGTACTTACAGAGTGTCCTTTAAAGTGGCGAGATAGGTTTCCGTGTCCCCTTGGAGGATGTCCGAGTCCAACTTGGACAAATAACGGTAGACGTAGGAGAACGTCTCAAAAGGGATGCGCGCCGGCCCGCCCTCGGGGTCGGCGGTGAGGATCTCACACAGGTGCTTCATCGAGCTGTTCAACGACTGGAAAGACCACAAACCGGGGACAGTTACCACCTAGAATCACCACAGCGAGAGCATAAGACACCAGCAGAATCAGCCCTTGGGTACGTTTCACAGAAATTCTCCATCAGGTATGCTCTCAATCGACGTGAACTAGGTTTACGTACACTTGCTGTAAGTGAGGAAATTGAAGTTTTCATCAAGATGCCTGTGGCCTGAAAATAATTTTAATCCACAGATGTTGTTTTATGTTAAAATGGGAATGAGGAAGCATCAGTCTCCTTAACGATGAGCCCGGAGCCAGCCCAGAAGCCTCCAGCCCCTTCAGTGCTGGGACGTACCTGGGGCCACACTGAGGGGGCCGGGGTGGGTGGGCTCTAGGACAGATGGCCCATGACGCGTCCTGACGCCCACCTGCGATCAGGCTCCGTGCAGGCTCCACATGGGGCTGGCCCTGCTCTGGGCCTGGTCTTGGTTCCCAAAAGTACTTATTCCCCTGCCCCTTCTCTCTGTCTGGTTCAGTCACCCCACCCACCCGGGCTGACACCTTGACCTTCAGCCTGAAAGCTGGTCCCTGGAGAAGCCATCCCACTCCCACAAGGCACAGGCTCAGAGAGCGAGGACCCTCCCTCCAGGCCAGGAGGGCACAGGGACTGTGTCCAGTCCCTGGAGATCTCACAAGAGCCTGCGGGCCAGCCAGGCAGAGGCATTCACATCTCATTCAGGGGCTCCCGGGGCAAGTCAGGGCCCTTTGCCCCTGCAGAGAGCAGGCTGTGGAGACTTAGGGGGCGGCCGTTAGAGGGAGGAGCGAGGAAAACACAGGTGGGACAGGCACAGAGGAGAGCTTCCCACGTGGGGAGAGTCACGCGCAGACCTCCTTGACCGTGACTGTTGGGAGGGGAACGAACCCGACATCCTTAGGGACGCGTAAATGGCTGGAGCCACAGTTCCTAACCCGACGTGCCTGCGGGACGGGAGTCCGGGTGCTGCTTAGCTGGGTCATCCAAGGCTCCGGTCGGGGTGGTGGCCAGGGTTTGGGCCTCCTCCGGAGGCTTGACTGGAGACGGACCTGCTCCCGCCCTCACCAAATTTGCTGGCAGATGCCGGACGCATGGCAGGGGGCTTCCCCAGGAAGTCCACCGGCCCGGGCAGCCCCATTCCCAGCTCCCGACACCGCACGCAGGGGCAGGACACGGAGGGACGGAGGGACGGAGGGACGGCGGGCTCCGACTCCGGGGGGTTGGGCCGCCTGCCTGTTGTGTTCACGGCCAAATCCTCCGCTCTCAGGAGAGGCGCCGGCACAAAGCAGCACTCAGCAAATATTTGGGGAGGAAAGAAGGAAAAGAGGGAGGGAGGGAGGGAAGGAAGGAAGGAAATGGACAACTCTGAGTAAGCAGGGACCTTACACTCGGCTCATCTGACCATAGACTGTGAAGAAAAATTGAAGAGCTCAGAGGACGCGTCTGCCACCAGCCACGCAGAGGCCGGGGATGAAGGAGGCAGAAACGGTGGCTGTTGTGTTGACAGATCGACTAGATTCCAACGTAACAGAAATCCCGCGTGGAGAAGGGAGCAGGCAATGAGCCCCTGTAAGTTACCCCTCCTGCACTTTGCTTCTCTGTCTCCTCCTTTTTTTGAAGGTTTTTTTTTTTTTTTTAAGCATAAAGATCCGGGTGCCTGAGTGACACGGTCGGTTCAGCATCCAACTCTTGATTTTGGCTCAGGTCCTGATCTCAGGGTCGGGAGATGGAGCCCCGCATTGGGTTCCACACTCCGTGAAGAGTCGGCCTCAGACTCTCTCTCCCTCCGCCCCCCCCGCCCCCCTAAAACACAACCACAGCATAAAGATGACGCTAAGTTGCCAAGTTACTCCCAAATTGCCACCTGGTCACCTCCAAGTCACAGCTTTGTGCTGGTGAACCTCCAGGCTACCCCAGCCAAGTGGGCACAGTGGCTTCTCCCCATTCCGGCCTGGCCGCCCCAGGACTGTTTGCACTAACGGCAGGAGTGGGGGGCAGGTCAGGGCAGAGGCGACACCCCCACTTCTGACACCTCCCTGCTCACCCTTCCCCCAACCCTACCCCCAACACAGACATGGTCAGTGAACCAGAGAAGACCTTCCCGGACGGCCGGGCTGCAGAGCCCACAGCCCACAGCAGACACGACTGTCGAGGTGGCCCAGCTAGGGGACAGGCCAGGACCCCACCCGCCCAGCGAGGATGAGAAACAGTAGAGGAAAGGAGGGGCACGGCTGCTGCTTGCTTTCCTGTCCCTTCCCCAGCGTTCAGTCCAGAAGGTGACCGAATGTCTCCACCTAGTGTCCTACACGACACATGGACAAGAAACCCTCTCTCTTGCTCCGGCTTGGTCTTAAATCCAGCACTTATTTTCACGATTGGAGAAGTAAACATTACGAAGACGGATCCCCAAAATATGAAATATCCTTTCTCACCACTGCTAAACTCTAAATTTCACAGCTAAGTTTAAAGGCATAAACCATAAATGTCTGTTCTAATCTTAGCTACTCATTTCACAGTATTAAAAATCTTGCTTTCGCAGAGCTCCCGATGAACAAAGCGATGCGACATTATCTTCCGTAGGCACATCTGTCTTTGTCCTTCCCACCCCAACACCCCACTCCCCGGTTAACGTGTGATCCCCGCTTTGCCGCAGGACGGTCCCTGGCACAAACCAGCCCAGGGTGCCGGTCTTCTCTGCCGCTGACGCAAACCGCACCTTTGGGCACTTACGTGACTCCCTACGCAGCAATGAGCCAGCACCTGGCTCTCCTGGGGCTTCAGTGGCTCTCACGGGGGCTATTAATAGAACCAGTAAAAGGTGGTCTCTTCTCGGAGTGGCTATTAGACAGCGGAGGCAATGAACGTCCTACTGCTGTCTGCGATGATGCAGAGGGAGATGGAAATCTAACTGGGAATGAATACAAATTCCAGAAGATTATGAACCACAGACTTCTCTTTGCATGAAGTTAAAACCCATGAAAATTAAATACTGTATTTCTTGGGGTACGTATGCGGCCCATGGGAAGCAGGAGATTTGGGAAGGCGTTTGCTTCAGGCCGGGGAGATGGCAGGGGGTGGGGGGTGGGACGGAGGAAGAGCGCGCAGTCATGTCCTTGTGTCCGTGATCATGTGGTGTCCATTGGGGTTTCCTACACAAAGTGACTTCTAAAAACTAAAATGGGAGCTGAGTGTGCACCAGGAAGCGACGACTGTGAATTTTCCAGCTACGTTCTCTGTGGTCCAAAGACAGGAGGGAGGGGGTGAAACCAGCGCGTGGCTCTGCAGCGAAGGCGGCCACCTCTAAAACCCCTTCTTTGCAAGTGGAAAGCAGTAACGCTTCCTTCCCTACATCCCAGTGTCTCTCACAGAGACTCGGACACCAGAGCTAAAGAGAGCTTCCAGATTCCCAAAGAAGTCCTGCCAAACAATTTAACAAGATGGGACACAACAGACGCTGGTGAGGATGTGGAGAAAGGGGAGCCTCTTGCACTGTTGGTGGGAATGCAAACTGGGGCAGCCACTCTGGAGAACAGGATGGAGAGTCCTCAAAAAGTTGGAAATAGAGCTACCCTACGACCCAGCAAGTGCACTCCTGGGTATTTACTCCAAAGATACAGATGTAGTGAAAAGAAAGGGCACCTGCACCCCAATGTTCATAGCACCAATGTCCACAATAGGATCTCCTTCAGCAGATGGAGAGATGTGGTCCACACATACAATGGAACAGCACTCAGCCATCAGAAAGGATGAACACCCGCCACTTGCACTGACATGGATGGGACTGGAGGGATGATGCTGAGTGAAGTAAGTCCAGCAGAGAAAGACAATTATATGGTTTCACTCATCTGTGGAACATAAGGAATAGCACGGAGGACCACGGGGGAAGGGAGGTAAATCTGAAGGGGGAGAAATCAGAGAGGGAGAGGAACCATGAGACACTATGGACCCCAGGAAATGAACTGAGGGTCTCAGAGGGAAGGGGGAGTGGGGAGAGGGGGTAACAGGGTGATGGGTATTAAGGAGGCCACATGATCTGATGAACACTGGTGTTACACGTAACTGATGAATCACTGAACACATCAAAAACTAAAGATGTGCTATACTGTGGCTAACTGAACATCAAAAAGGAGGGGTTGGGGAGGAGGAGGAGGAGGAGGAGGAGGAGGAGGAGAAGTCCTGCCAAATCATCATACTCCACCCCTTCCCTCCCCACCCCTCCTTGGTTCAGAGACGCCTCACCTTGGGAACCGGAAGGTTATCTCTGTCTTCATTCCCAAGGGTCAACCTTCAACATCGTCAAAGCTGCACTATATCTATTAGCTACCAATCATATACTTTAAGTCAAATATAAAACAATGTTACTCCTCTTCCCATAGATGAGGAAAACAGAGTAACTGTTTCCCAAATGATGTGTAGTTCCATAAAAAGTCACCAATGCGTTCTCTTCTAACACCTAAATGCATTGTCATAGCATCTCTGTATTTTATCCATTGTTAACAATTTTAAAATTGAAGCATTCCTAAGTATTTAACTTCTGCAAATTAAAATAACTATAAGCCTATGGGGCACCTGGGTGGCTCAACCGGTTAAGCACCTGCCTTTGGCTCAGGTCACAATCCCAGGGTCCTGGGATCGAGCCCCGTGTTGGGTTCCTTGCTCAGCAGCAAGTCTGCTTCTCCTTCTGCAGCTTTCTTGCTCTCTCTCTATCCCAAACAAATAAATAAATAAATTTTAAAGATTTTATTTATTCCTTTGATAGAGACAGCATAAGCAGGAGAGGCAGAGGCAGAGGGAGAGGGAGAAGCAGACTCCCCGCTGAGCTAGGACACCCCCCCCACCCCCCCGCAATGCAGAGCTCCATCCCAGGACCCTGAGATCATGACCTGGACCAAAGGTAGACACTTAACCATCTGAGCCACCCAGGTGCCCCATAAATAAAATCTTAAAAAAAAAAAAAATGTAAGCCTAGAAATACAACAGACACCTGAAAAAGAATTGCTTCTCTCTGACAGTTACTAAAGTAATGAAAGTGTTTCCTTCGGTTACTGAAACACCCATAGTACTTTTTTTTTTATTAAGATCTTATTTATTAATTTGACAGAGACAGAGAGATCACAAGTGGGCAGAAAAGCAGGCAGAGAGTTGGAGGGGAAAGCAGGCTCCCCGCTGAGCAGAGAGCCCGATGTGGGCTCAATGCGGGGCTTGATGTGGGGCTCGATGCAGGGCTCGATCCCAGGACCCTGAGATTGTGACCTGAGCCAAAGGCAGAGGCTTTAACCCACTGAGCCACCCAGGCGCCCCCACCTACAGCATATTTAAGCCAGGCCACGATCGCACAGAATTACTCAGAACGCAACTGGAAGGTACGTACCCCGCCAAGCATGCTGCATCCAAGCGCTAAAAATTTTATCCACTCGATTTTGTCTTCGCAAGGATCCAGCTGCAACAGCGCTCTGAAGTTCTCTACCGGCAGGCACAAATTCTTCCATTTCTCCTCGAGATCCGCTAGTTCCACATACTGCTTGTGGCTGCACTATAGAGAAAACACAGTGATGACAACATTTGGAAGTTTTTCAGTCTATAAATATTTTAAGTTTTAGAAACCTGGGAAATAATATAGTGCTTATAAATAGTTCAACATACCCCAGTGCCCAACCACATGCAGGGAAAAGACAGACTCTGGATTCACAACACAGACAGCCCCAGGAAAGCAGGGCATGAAGGTGTGCGGCGGGAGGGGCGCAGGGCAGGGAGGCAGCATGCTGCAAGCTGACATTGTCCTGTTTTACTTCTCAAAAGGAAAAAGCAAATAGGGCCTGATGTTATGGTTGAGTGAACCGGGCCCACAGATTGGATATAGGATTCTGGGCTGTCTGTGCAAAACACTTCACAACAAAAAATAAGCATCAAGAAATAAAAACATTTAAAATCCAATCTGCTGAAAGTGCTCATAGTTAAGTGGAAGAAATCTTAAAATTGAAAATAAATTCACTTCTTCTGTTATTTTATTTTATTTTATTTTATTTTTAAAGATTTTATTTATTACTTATTTGACAGAGATCACAAGTAGGCACAGAGGCAGGCAGAGAGAGAAGGGGAAGTAGGCTCCCCACTGAGCAGAGAGCCCGATGCGGGGGCTCGATCCCAGGACCCTGAGATCATGACCTGAGCCGAAGGCAGAGGCTTTAACCCACTGAGCCACCCAGGCGCCCCTTCCATTATTTTAAATAACCTGTGAAAATTGGTCACGATGATGATATGCTAATAGCATTCTATGTGAAAAGCTTGGAGCAATTTTAGTGTGTTTTTTTCCCCAAGCTACCCCTTCCGATGGTTATTCGTTTTCCCTTTAGAGAAAACTGTGGAATAATCCCATTGTCAGAAGTCAATGCATGGGGCAAACCACTTTAAAGCTCACGGTTATAGCACTGATGTCAGTTTCAGCAACCGACCCAGTCACTGGGAAGGCCAAACCCGGGTGATCCAGTCCCTAATTTACTTGTTTCTCCACAAGCAAGGTGGAGGGGCGGGTGAGGGCGGCCTGGGCTCTGGGGCAAGGATCTCGCCCACGCCCAGGCACTTGGGACCCCACAGCGTACCAGACGCCAAAGAGCAGTCTGTCGTTCGGAAGAAGGTGACAGCAGATCGTTTCTTTAGCGCGTACACTATGTTTGTAAGCCTATTTCCAGAAGAGACTCGCAGCCCCCATTTTGGGAGTCGGATTTCCAGACTTTCAGTCAGGCAGCCTCTAGGGTTTTAACTGGGTATTTAAAAGCAATTACATGTCACTTGCTGACAATCTAATCACGAATAGGTCTTTTGGGTTCTTCAAACTAGAGAGAGGCACTGAAGCAGCAGATTCCTGCTCTGAAGAAATCCAGCAGGTGTGCCCCGGGGAGAGATGTCTTGCCAAGGGGAGCTGGCGCGCCTGTCCCCTGTCCCTGCGGCGGCCACGCTTTATCTGGTGAAGCTGACGGAGAACAGAGACACTCCCCTCCTACCTGCTTGTGCAAAACTTTCAGGAGTCCTTGAGTCAGGCCTGTGTCTGTTTTCTGAGTGGCCACAGGCATCTCGATTCTGTCCTTGACGGGAAGCGGATCTCCTCTGGACAAAGCTGAAAAATACCTAAGAGCAACAGCCACGTCTGAGGGCACGTCAGGACCCAGAAAGCACGGGAAATCGCGTGGTTTCCCAAAGGAGCTGTGAGCATGACAGTGCCCGCAGCTACGAGCGTGACTCCAGGGACACCACAGTCCGAAGGCCAGGCTGCGGTTCTGGCTCCTCCGCTCAGCTCTCCAACTTAACCTTCTCTGCGTGCCTCAGTTTCTCTGTCTGCAAAGCCAACAATGGCGGCCCCTGTCATAGGGTTCCGAGGAGCAGTAAGCTCAAGCTGCCAACGGGCTGGACACGCCACACGGCCACGAGCCATGGCCGGGGGTGGGGTGGGAGGGAGGGGGGCTCCCGAAACACGTGCTATTCTTATCAAGCCCACGCTAGGAGGGGTCCTGGAAGGCTGGGAAAGGAGACAGGAGACTCAGGATGGCAATGACCCAAGGGCAAGGTCATGGTCTAGTCATTCTACTTTGACAATTAGTGTTTGGTCTTCCCTGCTCTTGGCCTTGCTGCTTTCCAAGGGGGATGACTTCAACCATCTCTGTTTAACCCTACGGGGCCCAGGGGAAGGGAAGTCACCTGTCTGCCCTGCGGGGGACCAACTGCCCACTCCACGACATCAGACGCCACCCCTCCCCCATGCTTCACTTTTCCTGTATTTTTAGTAATTTTATTTAGTATTTTTTCCCCTCAAGTGTTCCCTTCTGGGATGCAGATATTGGTGCTGATGTTGGGGGCTGGGGGCGGGCATGGAAAGAGTACAGGGCAACAAGTCAGGAGGGGGCACCCAGCAGCTTCTGGTTGGTGGGGAGGGGGAGAGGGTGCCAGGAGGGCCGGAGGGGGCCGGCTGCTGCAGCCGCATCATTGGCCACTCTAATGACCAACACAACCCCGGGGCCACAGGCCATAATGTGAAAGACATGAATAATTAAAAACATCTCTGGTTATGTAACAAAGGTAGCTGTTGATAGATATTTGAGGAGCAAAATGAAATGTTACACCTCATCACCTTTTCTCTCGCCATCCATATTTTGTTGACTTAACAGGTTGAGGGAAAGTCAAAACAAAGGCAGCAGTGTGGGAGATGGGGAACAGGAAGATCCGAGGTGACAGGGGCAGGGAGGGTGCACGGGTCTTAGTGTTACCATATTGTTCCTAATTAGGGTTTTCACCTCTTCCGGGGACTTTATTCCTCCTCCTCACCGATCAAACCACAGCGTCTAAAGCAGTGGATCCCAATAATTCTCTCACCCCCTCCCCAGGAAGGCGCTGGCAATTTCTGGAGACATTTTTGGTTGTCACAGTGCTACTGGCCTCTTGTGGGACAGGTCAGGATGCTAACAGTCCTATTATGCCCAGACACCACCATCTTCCCCCCACATACGCCCTCCCCCCCAAGCAATTATCTTGCCCAAAGTGTCAACAGTGTCAAGGCTGAGGAAGCCTGCATTAGGGGTGAGCCCCCCACCCCAGCCCCCCGTCCTGTGCTAATTCCCTGGGGCCCAAGGGAGCAAGAAGCAGCCTTTACACTGGACCAGTTTTCACTCCGGTCACACTGCAGGAGGCACCTGGGACAGAACATAGTACAGCCACCTAACTGGGGTGTCGCAGCAGAGGACACAGGCAGGGGGGCGTGAAGAGGTTAACCTACATGCCTCCTGGAGTTTCCCCAAGGCTGGTACCTTCCTGTGATTCCCGGTTCTCTGCTTTGTTTTGAGTTGTTGTTTTTTTGTTTTTTTTTTTCTTCTTCTTGTCACCTCCCCTTTGTTGGAATGTTCTTCTTCCCGGAATGCCCTTGCCTTGTCTCAAAGACCAATTCACCCTCTTCTGAGCCACATCCCTCTCTAAAAGATTCTCTTTTGTGGCATCTGAGTCCATGTCACACACACCGCATAGTGAATAATGCTTTTCTCCTAAACTCCAAAATTGCTCTTGAGAGAAATTAGGTGCACGAAGAAATTCGGTGCATGGAACATCCAGAAAGTTCTCAATTAAGCCTTTTAAATTAAAGTGAAGCTTAAGTTAAAATAATTTATGTCCCAAGAGGGGAAAAAAAAATGATTCAATCTTGGAATGTCCCGTCGACTACAAACTTTCATCTGACCCATCTTTACCGACATTTGGATGGTGGTTAAAACCGCAGGCCATCATTTTTTTTGGCAAGAACCTTGAGAGAATCAGAAGCAACTGACAGAAGTGTTTGTCATAAGACATCACTGGATTGATGAGTAGCCTTATGTGGGGGGCTCAAGAAGGGCCCCAAAGACATCCAGGCCCTAATCCTGGAGACTGTGGATCTTATTTTGCACAGTGACAGGGACTTTGTAGATGGGAGAGAGGATTTGGAGATGCGAAAATGATCCTGGATTATTTTGATGAGTCCTAAGTGCACTCATCAGTATCCTTGGACGAGGGAGGCAGAGAGAGACTTGAAGATGCCGCACCACTGGCCTTAAAGATGGAGGAAGGGGCCAGGACCCAAAGAATACAAGGAATGCTGCTCTGGAAGCTGGAAAAGGCAAGCAAGGGATTGGATTCGCCCTAGAGCCTCTGGAGAGAAGCCCTGACAACTCGACTTTAGCCGGGCGAAACTGATTTTGGACGTTTGGCCTCGCGAGCCATAAAGAGAACGCGAGCCTGTTGTTTTAATCCTTTAGCTTCTGTGGTTGTGACAGTCGCCACAGGAAACCAATGCACCTTGGATATACAGTTTAGAGAGGGTCGGTGAAATCTAACTTGCTAGTTACTAACACTTTTTTTTTTTAAGATTTTATTTATTTGACAGAGTGTGCGCAAGCAGGCTGCAGCGGCAGGCAGAGGGAGAAGCAGGCTCCCCGCTGAGCACAGAGCCCAGTGCGGTGGGGGTGCGGCGGGGGGGGGGGGGATGCCTGGTGCGGGGATGCGGGGCTCGATTCCCAGACCCAGGGATCATGACCTGAGCTGAAGGCAGATGCTTCACCAACCACCCAGGCGCCCCAAAACATTTAATTTTATACTGGTTCATGAGATCATAAAATTGAGTTTCTAAGTCTGTCTACTCAAAAGGGGCAAAGAGCTCTCCTTTCAAAACTAAATGGGTTTGGGGCGCCTGGGTGGCTCAGTGGGTTAAGGCCTCTGCCTTTGGCTCAGGTCATGATCCCAGGGTCCTGGGATCGAGCCCCGCATCGGGCTCTCTGCTCGGCGGGGAGCCTGCTTCCTCCTCTCTCTCTGCCTGCCTCTCTGCCTACTTGTGATCTCTGTCAAATAAATAAATAAACAAAAATCTTAAAACAAACAAACAAAAAAAAAACTAAATGGGTTTAATGGTTCTAAGGTCTGTTGATTTTGTAACTTTAAAATTATGTCTGTTCCTGAAAATAGTTAGGATGTTTGTTACAAGAAACAGTGAAGCCTCCTTCGCCTTCTTAAGCTGGGCGACGTTTAACCTTACAGCGGTCTCGGGATAATTTTCCCGAAGTGTCCTCAGTCGTCTTGGTTCTAGCAAACTCAACCAGGTACCGAACCCCGGGAGGATTTTCTGGGGTGAGGAACTTAGCCTTACAGGATTCCTTCTTACAAACATCATTTTGGAAATAAAGTCAAGGGACTGGAGTGGGTTGATTTTGTCACACAAGGCAGCCACTTTCTACCCCACGCAGTTGCTTTAAGGCGTCAGTCCGAGTAAGCGCCGCTCTCCGGCCACGGGTTGTGGTCATTCCGGGGAAGGGCAGCCGACCGCGGTGCTTGCCGGGGCGGACGCCCGCGGAGCGCGGAGCAGCGCTGCAGGGGGAGGGCAGGCGGCCCCCGAGGCGCTTACCCCGCGGACCACTGCAGCACGTCGGCGGGCTGGGTGCGGATCGCGGCCTTCGTGAACTGCTTCAGGATGTCCGGCAGCTCCGGGGGGATGTGGATCTGCTGCGCGCAGAACATGGTGTCGGGAAGCGGCATCGCTCTCCGAAGACCGGGACCAGGCTGGGAAGAATCAGGGTGTGCTGCGTGGAGGGGGAGGACCGGCCCGTGAGCCTCAGGGAGCGGGCGCTCGGGGGCGGGGCCGCCCTGCCTCCCCCGGATTTGGAGCCCGGAGGGGGGACCCGGGTTTGTGGCGGGGCCCGGCCCCCGGGTTTGGGGGCGGGCCAAGAGGCCGGCTTCGCGCGGTCGGGGCGGCCGGCCGGGGCTCTCACCCGCTCCTCCTCGGGCTCCTCGGAAAGTGAGGGCCAACCGCCCCTTCTAGCTACAGCCGGGAAGCGCCCGCGGCAGCAATTGTTGCCTGTACAGACGTATCCAGGCAACCGGGACGCCTGAGGGCCCCGCCCCTTGGCTCCGCGCAGGCGCACCCGCCTCGGGCCGAGGCCCGGCTATCGCCGGCACGGGCCTGGGAGGCAATGCGCTTGCGCAGTGTGGCTTCCGCCCTCCGCCCCGCGCCTTTTTTTTCCCGCCACTACCTGGTAGTAAAGGGATGCAGGAGCTGAACGTTTCACTTAGAAAAGGACCTTTTGAACGATTTCCCACTGCCAACTGTGAGGGGCGAATTCACAAGGGACCCGCCCCCCGCGCTTCCCATTGCTCTGGCTACGTTAAGCTTAAGGACGAAATGACGGTCGTCCTCGGAAGGAAGCCGTTATAATCATGGGGCCGGTCGGTGCAGGTGGCACGAGCCCCCTCCCTCCCCAAGAAGGAACCGGCCCTCCTTCCTCCGCGGCCTCGCTGGTCCTGCTCGAGCCCCTGCCGTGAAGCAAAGCGTCCCGGTGCCCAGACCTTCACCCGCGTTCTCAGTGCCCGCCCGTTCTTCCGATGTAAGAGCCATGAAGAGTTCGGACCGTGGCGATTTTCAGCTCGAGGAAGATTCTGTTTCACTTGTTCGAAGTAAGACAGAATGGTTGAGCCTGATTGGGTCTCGAAGGACATAAGCCGCGTCTTCTGCTACAATAGCTTTGGGTCGAATGGTAGAGAACTGCTCGGTTCTGGTGAATCCTGACCAGGGCACCATACGAAGTGTCGATCATGGCTGTGGCTACCCTCGAACCCACTCTGAATGAATGAAGCCCTGAAGCCCGCCTTCCCCTGCTCACCTCCAGCCAGAAGATGGAGAACTAGAACGAGCTACTGCCAGGAGGAGTCAAGGACAAGCTCTCCTCCTCCCCAGAGGCATCACCCCCAACCATGACTCCAAATTAACAGCATTTCCAAATTAACAGCACTGGCAAAACCTGAAAGCAGTCACTATTTAATGCTGATACTATATGGGAAAACAAGGAATCTCATACAGTGATGAGAGAAGAGTATTAATTAGTACATTTTGGGGACCATTTGGCACTACATTTTGATGACTTAGCAACCAACAGGTCTATGCTACAGAAATACTAGCCTGAGTATATATAATGTGGACAAAAATGTTTACTAAAGCACATAGCAAAATGGGTAAATTCTTTCAGAAAACTTAAACCATAATCTTATCCACACAACAGAATTCAGCCATAATTTTATAAATGAGGTAGCTACTTAAGTATTGACATTACAAGATGTTCATGAAATATAAAGCGAAAAAAAGCACCCCACAGAGCAGAGTCTGTGAATGTATGTTTGCCCATAGCACATTCTGGAAGCAAACACTAAACTCCTGACAGTGGTTACTTCTGGAGAATGGCACATGACTTTCAGGTTTTATTTTAACCATATATACATTATTTTGATTCTGATTCATCCATTTATTTATTCAACAGTATTGAATGTTAAGTATGTCCCAAGAACTGTTCTGAAATATAGTAGTAATCCCCAAATCGTTAAAAAATCACTTACATTTAAGTGGGGGAAAAGATACAAATATAAGGAGGACAGGAAAACCATGATATCTTAAAACATATGAGAGATAAGACACAGCAGAAGAGTCAGGAATGCCCCAGTTCCTGCAATTTTAGATAAGCCCAAGAATGACACTTTAGTACAAAATGAAGAGCCTAGATGAAGAACATGAAGGCGCAGCAAGTGTAAAGGCCCCGAGGTTTGACCTGTTCTGGAAGCAAGGAGGCTTGCCTGGAGCACAGGAAGGTGACTGTGAACTTGGGACTCTTGAGTGTGATGGTTAGCTGAGTAGAGGACTGTTGTGATCTTAGATCCGAACATGATCACTCTGCATCCCATGTTGAAAATAACTGGAATAAAGAAAGAGAGCGTGGGGCGCCTGGGTGGCTCAGTGGGTTAGGCCGCTGCCTTCGGCTCGGGTCATGGTCTCAGGGTCCTGGGATCGAGTCCCGCATCGGGCTCTCTGCTCATCAGGGAGCCTGCTTCCTCCTCCCTCTCTCTCTCTGCCTGCCTCTCTGCCTACTTGTGATCTCTGTCTGTCAAATAAATAAATAAAGTCTTTAAAAAAAAAAAAAAAAAGAAAGAGAGCGTGGGCAGAGGCCGGGAGCTCAGGAGAAACTGCCAGTGGCCTGGACAGGAGAGAGACGATGGTGCTTTGCGCCAGGAAGGTAGCAGTAGAGGGTGCAACATAGCCAGAATCCGATTCATTTTTGAAGACTTCCTGTCCAATGTTATAAGTGTGGGAGAAAAACAAGTGCCAAAGCTATTAGCAACATTTTTAATCTAGCAACTTGAATCCATCCAATTGCTTACCAACTGAAATGGGGACGTTCGAGAAAATAGATTTGGGGTAAGAGCATCATGAGTTTTTTGGGCCTGCTAAGTTTGGGATGTCTGGAAGAGTCTACACAGATAGGCGTGCAGACATGCCTGGAGTAAATACATACGTGAGTGACCAGCATACAGATGGCCTTTAAGACCATGAGAGAGAGTCAGATCACCAAGTTAATGAGTGTCGGTAGAACAGAGGTCCCCGCTGGGCTGGGCTGACAGGATAGGAGGGTCAGCGACGGAGTCTGGAAAGGAGAATCCAGACAGGCAGGAAGGAAATGAGGGGAACGCTGTGTCCTGACAACCAGGAAAATGGTTTCACTGAAGAGGAACCACCCATTTCAGGTGAGAGCTGAGAGGGAACCACGTCAATTAGTGGTGGCCAATTTGTGACTTACAGGAGCAGTTCCAGAGCACAGTGGAGCAAACACCTGATTGTAGCAGGCCTGGAAAAGGAGAGGAAAAACTGGAAAGAGTACAGAGAACTGTTTGAAGGGCTTTGTTGGAAAGGAACGTGAAATGGAACAGTTGAAGGAATCAGTGGGGTGGAGATTTTCCCAAATGACGCAACATCTGAAATGATGGGCACGACCCGACAGCACTATGAGGGAGAGGGAGAAGTGCAGAGCAGTGCTTCGGGGTAGCGGAGTACTGTGGCCTAGTGAGCGTGCGCAGGGTGGGGGACCCAGGGACCGCACGTGGGCCCGGGGGCAGTGTGCATACAGAGCGCCCTTGCCGGAGCCTGCACAGCCTGGTGAGCGTGTGGGCACAGGTGCAGGTAAGACGGCAAATCCGACGAAGTGAACCTGTGAAGACTTGTTCTGATTGCTTTGTCCTCTTGGTGAGACGGAAATGAACTCAGCAGCCCAAAGTGAGAGAGAAGGGGGCACTCTGAAGAAAGATAAAGTATGAAATGATCCTTTAAAGAGCATGTAATACGCTGGTATTCCTTTTTGAAACTGGGATGTAACTGACCTACAATGAACTGCACAACTTTAAAATGTACAATTTCACATGTGTGCATGTCAAACCGGGAGCACATCGAGATAACGGATACATCAATCCATGTCTTTATGCCCCTTCGAAATCCCTCCGAGCCCCTTCCCACCGATTGGTAGGTCTGCTTTCCCTTAGCACTGAGACTTGTCCATGCTGCGTGTATCAAGTTATTTATTTTTACTATTGCTGAGCAGTATCTCACTGCAGGATCATTTGTTTATTCACCTGCCGCTGGGCGTGCGGACTGTTTCCAGCCTTGAGCTATTACAGAGCTACGAGGAACGTTCATGTAGGAGTCATCGTACGGACTGACTCCTGGTCAATAACTAGGAGTGCTAAGGACTCACTGTAATGGTTTCCAAACTGCCCAGCTATTTCCCAAAGGAGTTTATACCACTTCACTTTCCCTCCAGGAGAGGGTAAGAGTTCCAGTTCCTCACATCCTCACCAACACACGGAAGAGTATTTTTAATTTTAGTCGTTCTAACAGATACGTGGTGGTAACTTGTGGTTTTAATTTGTATCTTCCTAGCGGCTGGTTATGTTAACAGCTAGCTTCTCATGTGCCTATTTGCCATCTGTGTATCCTCTTTAATGAAATGTTTAAATATTTTGCCCATTTTTAAAAAAATGGGCAAATGGATCTTCTTAAAACTACTGAGTTTTGAGACGTGTCTATTCTGAATGCATGTCTATTATCTGAAATGTTTCACAAGTAATTGCTGCCAGTCCACGGCTGGTTTGTGGTTGCTGTCCCCTAAACAGCATGTATCACAGAGCAGACACTTTCAGTCTTGGACACGTCCGACTTATCAACTTGTTCTCCTTTGGACTGTGCTTTTGCTCATATCTAATCTAAATCTTTGCCTTACCCAAGGCTGAACATTTTCCCCTTTTGCTTCCAGAAGTTACTTGGCTGGAGGTTTCTTGCTTAGGAATACAATCCATTCTGAGGTAATTTTTGCATATACTGAGATATGGATCAGTTTTTAATTTCACATGTGGATGTCCAATTACTCCAGCACCCCTGGTCGACTTCCACACCTTCAAGCATCAACCGTCCACGTACACGGGGGTCTACTTCCGGACTCTGTGCCGCTCCATCGGTTCTGTGGGTCTGTAAACCCGCCAGGAGACTGCTACAACTGAGCAAAGAACAGAGGAGTGACTGCACGGGGTTCCCAGCATTGTGAAGTTTCTTGGCCTGAAAGAGTTACTGAACAGCACAGAGACAGACACCGTACTGTTACTCATGTAAAAAGAGAAATTTCAAAAAGAAGATTGAACCGTATAAAGCACTGGAAAGGGGACCTTCTCTCCCCAGGCTCCTGGCTGTTGCGGAGTGACGTACACCACAGGAGGCTGGAGGGGGGCCTGGGTGTGGCGGCGCACAGTACAGAGTGTCCAGGGGGACCCGGCTCTGTATTCCTCAGGACATTCTAGTCATACCTGGACTAGAACCTTCTGCTTGTTTTTCTGGCTTTTTCCACTCTAAGGGTTCCTTGAAGGCAGACACCGTACCTCGATTCAACTCTAGTGCTCAGAAAAGTGTGGGAAAGAAAGCAGACCCCCAAACCAGAACACTGTGGGACGAG